ATACAGTCGAACTTCGATAACTCGAACTGCGATGTGACACATAAAAACTTCGAGTTATCAAATAATACTTCTTTAATTAGTATTTCTTTGTGAATGAACATTTATGTATTTATTTCAGTAAAAATTGGTTAAATGTTACATAAGTGCCTTAATATCTATGCTTTTCAAAGGAATAACAAAAATTATGAAACAGTACTATCAACATATTTTTACATACATAGTAAGTATGTACATATGTATGTACTACAAGTACATATATACATACATGTATGTATTTACTATTTTACTGTAAAAAAGTCAGTTATTTGTGACTGACGAACGGATTTCTTATTTTGATTTTCGAAAAAAGCTTCAATTTCATTTAAACTATTATACAGGGCATCGGTTGTATATTCACTGGCTTTTAAATAGGAACGCAAGACACTCAACGAATTTTCAAATCTTTGACCAACAGACAATGTTTTTAAAATACGTTTGACATATTAACACACGCAAAAATGTCTTTAATATAATACATAAATGAAATAGATATAGTATTTTTTACTTATTGTTAGTAGTAACTAGTAAGTCAAACAAATGAATTTAGCAAACGCAGAAACTGAACTGCCTGCATAAATACGTTAAAATCGACCGTAATTGCGGGATTCTCCCAGAAAATTCGACTTATCGAAGTTGGCGCAAAATATTTCGTTCGAGTTATCAAGATATTCGAGTAATCGAAGTTCGAGTAATCAAGACAAATTTACACGCATTTCCTACTTTTGACGCTATTACCAACTAATCTGGATCGACTTATCAAACATTCGAGTTATCGAAGTTCGACTTATCGAAGTTCGACCTATCAAAAAAAATCTATGGAGGCTTCTAATACAATTTTTAAAACTTATTTTTTGAAAACCCCGTGATACGGAACTTCTTATTTATTGCAGTTTTAAACTTCCAGGATATTAAGTTGGATTTGCCAGGATTTGATTCACAGCCAAATCATTTTATTTCACATTTAATGATGATATTAATTTTTTGACTACACTGGTAATAAATACCCAATAAAAATCAATTTCACCTCCACTATTTATTTCAACCCCATTATGTTTATCTCCGTGTTGTATACGGAATAATCTAAAAGATGAGTATCACTTTCAGTTTCAATGTAGCTCTATTTAACTTAATGATTCTTCCTATTGTGGGGACCATAATTGCAACACTACTGTGTATTACACACGTCCGCTATATTGCGACAGATGTTTCCTATATAGGAAGAAGAAGGGTGGTCGTCTGTATTACATAAATAGGTGCTTTACGCATATAGATAAATGTACATGTATATTAGGAAGTAAGCCAAAGTAAAAGAAGAACAGTCAAGACACATTTGAAATTGGTAGTAGTACCTTTTCAGGCTTTACGTAAAGTATTTCTCGACTAAAAAAAGTACTCAACATAAAAATACAGTACAGATTTGGGAAATCAGGTTGTTCCGTAAATATGGCTTGCTATTTTTTCTGTGCAATATTATTGATGTAAAAATACTCTGAATTTCGAATAATCGCTTACAAAATTACGATGTTTACTTAAGGCCTTAAATAAAGTATTTTTGCGTACTTTATGTTTCTTGTAAAGTATAACGTACGCACAGTCGAAATAGAGTACAATCCTTTATAATA